AGTGCGCCTCGTGGGTGGCAACGGTGAGGAATTCGGGTTTTGATCTGAGTGACCGTGGAGCTGATGGAGGGTTCTGAGTAAGGAAGTGATAGGAACTAACGTAGGTCTTGCTGCTGAGTTGAGAAGAGACTGTAGAGCAGGGGTCCCCAATCCCCAGGCTGTGGACCAGTACTGGTCCGCAGCCTGTTAGGAACTGGGCCGCACAGCAAGTGAGCTGCAGGTGAGCTGCAGGTGAGTGAGCAAAGCCTCCTCTGTATTTGCAGCAGGTCCCTAAGGCTAGTATCACCGCCTCAGCTCCACCTCAGATCATCAGGCATTAGATTATGGTAGAAGCACGGGTCCCTGGTGCCACAAAGGTTAGGGACCACTACTATAGAGGACAAGGGTAGAGGCAGGGAGGGAGACCCAATGGGGGCTGTGGCAGTGGCCCAGGAGAGGGGTGGAGTAGAGGACCTAGAAGGCCTAGACTCTGGATAGATCTGAAGGCAGAGCCAATAGGACTCCCTAACAGACTGGATGTGGGGGTGGGTCAGAGATAACACCCAGGTTTGGCCTGAGCAACCAGAGAGAAGAGAGGCCATTTATGGAGATGGAGATGAAGGGGTAGGGTAAGAGGAGAGAGGGAGATAGGCCTGTGGGAAGGGGACAGCCAAGCATTTGTTTTGGGGCATGTTAGGCAGGAGATGCCTGTTAAATATCCAAGTGGGAAAGCCAAGTTTAAGGGAAAGGTCCAGGCTGGAAGTCACTGGCACAGAGATGGAGTTTAAAGCCATGGGACTGACTATCTACACAAAATCTTGCACATGAATGTTCATAGCAGCACTATTCATAACAGCCAGAAAATATGAACAACCCAAATGTCCATCAATAGATCAATGGAGAAACAAAATGTGGTTTATCCACATAATGGAATATTATTCATCCATAAAAAGAAATGAAGTTGTGATATAAGCTACAATGCCAATGAGCCTTGAAAACAGTGAAAGAAGGCAGACACAAAAGGTTACATATTATATGGTTCCATTTATATGAAATGTGCAGAATAGGCAATTCGTAGAGACAGGAAGTAAATGAGCGGTTGCCAGGAGCTGGGAGGATGACAGAAAGGGAAGTGACTACTAATGGGTCCAAAGTTTCTTTTGGGGGTGATGAAAACATTCTAAAATTATGATGATGATGATTGCACAACTTTTGAATATACTTAAAAAAAAAAAAATAGGAAGCCACACAGTGAATAAGGCCACCATGTGAGCAAGTCCAGACAGAGAGAAGGCCCAAGGACAGAGGCCTGGAGCCCACCTACACATGGTTTATAGGTCTACAAAGTCAGGAACCAGCGAAGGAGACTGAGAAGAAGGGGCCAGACAGGTAGGAGGCAAAGGGGAACAGGGGGACTGGCGTGGCAGCCGCCCCTTTTAGACAGATGCGCCCTTCAGTCTGCCTGCCTCCTCTACTTCCCTTACAGTCCAGGCCCCCGTGGGGACCAGTCCAAGACCGCAAACACTGAGGGGCAGAGACTGGGTCTGTCTCGTTCACAACTGTGGGTCCTGAGCCACGCAAGCAGCTGGTGCACAGTAAGACCCCAATAAGATCTGTGCATCCCCAGGAAACTACTCAAAGGTTCAGTGACAGTCAGTCTGCCCTCAGGCTCCTGCCATTGGAGCACCAGGGGCATTATTCCAAACCTGAACCATATCCCTGAAAATGTCGATGGAAAACTCAACAAAGCCTGAAAATGCCAACTGTCTATCCCAGGCCTGGGCTGAAGGCTGAAAGAGAATGTTCTGGCTATTCTTAGGCCATGTTCAAGTTCGGCTTTTTGGGGCTGTTCCCAAAGAGGCTTTCATTGTTGCCTCTTCCCTCCTCCCCGGGGTCCTCACTCCTGTTTCCCTACTCAATTCGTTGTTCAGCTCAAACAAGGGGGCTCAGAGGGCCGTGGGGACATCTGCGAGGGCATCAGAATTAGAGGGACCGGAGGGGTAGGACTGCCCCCAGTTCAGGGGATCGTCTTTGAAAACCCACTGGAAAATGTGACAGGAAGGAGGAACTCAGGAGGATCTGAAGAGTTCCCCCTCGGTCCCAGCTGTTTTCTGATGCAAACGTTCCGGCTGTGGGTGCCAAAGGCCAGGACACTCTGAGCAATCCTGTCAGGCGGGCAGCGAGACATGCCCCCACAGGACTCTAAGGCCCTGCTGGCTGGTCCCCCAGCACTGAGTCTCAGATAAACACAGCTGGAGACCAAGGAGACGGGGCCTGGAAACAGCCATTTGCTCAGGACAGCAAATCCACAGCCCACCTTCACCATCGTTTCCTGTGAGCAGTTATTCTCCATTGGCTGCCGGACAGATCTGTCCCTCTCTCTACTCTTCTGGGAATTCAGGGCCCAGAAATCCCGTCAGACCAAACTGTGGTCTCTGGGGCTGAGCAGTCCTCAGAAACACATAAACCTCACACTGAGAGCTTAGAGTTCACCTGTACACACAGGTCCCACAGGTCCAGTCCAACATAGCTGTTAAAATACGTTACAGAAACTGCCATTCCAAGAGCATGCTGGGATCCCAGACTTTCCCAAGACCTAGAAACCAAAGGGTTAATACCTAGGGAACCTCAGCTGGGTTTTGGGGCTAGAGCTGGAGGTTATTCCAATGGGTCAGATGTTCACAGTTTTGAAACCCAGGAAAGAAGGAGCAGACCAGCCACCGAGCCAAGAAACACAAGGCCACCGACATTCTCGGACCCCCGCTTAGGGAGCCGAGAAGGTCAACATCCCCATCACCCAGCACGTTGGCAGCTTAACTCCTCCAAGTGCTTCTCAACGGGCAGTGGAGCCGACGGGTGAGGAAGCGGAGCTCTGACTTCCTAGAATCCACCGCCCAGGTTCAAATCTCTCTCCCTGACCTAATGTGTGGCCTTGAACAGGCCACTCCTTTCTCTGTACCTCAGTTGCCTCATCTCTGAAATGGTGCTAATCAGAGTGCCTACCCCATCGAGTTGCTCTAAGAATTGAGTAAATACGTGTCTAATCATAAAATAACCACCCTATCGGTACTGTTAACACAAACTATGTATTACAGATGAGAAACGAAGGCAAGGAGAAGTGACTGGCCCGAAGTCACACAGCCAGTAAATGGGAGAGCTGGAATTCAAACCTGAGCAGCCTATGGCTGCAAAGCCTGGCTCTAACCCAGGCGTCAGCAAACTTTTTCTACAAAGGGCCAGATAGTAAATATTTTAGGCTTTGCTGGCCATATCCGGTCTCTGTCACCTATTCTTAGTGGGGAGAGGGGGGGTGATTTTTAACAACCCTTTGAAAAATGTAAACACCATTCTTAGCTCATGGGTTGTACACAAACAGGCCATGGACTGGATTTGGTCCACAGCTGTTTGGCCAGTCCCTGCCCTAAATCACTGCAGAATACTATCTCTTAAATGCTGGCAACTAATTCTCATTTGGAAGACACGCCAAACAGATCAAATGAAGAACATGGGCAGGTCCAGTTCAGTCCACAGGCTCCCAATTTACATGTTTCACGTAGAGCTTCGTCTTCACCAAGGTGAAGAGCTGAGCTACATGTGGCATTGCTAACATTCACCCAAAAATCCAAGCAGCTACAAGGGCAAATGCAGGAGGGCCTTTTGAGATCCCTGGGAGGGATAAGCAGCAGGAGGCCAGAGGAGGTATAGGGAGAGCTATGTCTCACCTCCCCCAGCTGGATTCATTACAGGCCTGTGTTCACAGGCAGAGATAATGGCCCCAGGGTCTGGTCCAGCTCAGAAGCTCAAGTTTCATCCACCTTCTCCAGTAGAAAATCAAGTTCAAGAATTCCCTAGTACTCTTCCTCTTCTCGCTCCCTTCTACTTCATGGTGCAAGGATGCATGTCACTCCAGGGAGCAGGTGTATGAACGAGGCACCACCAGCCAAACTAATCCACCAGTAGGGACCCCAGGAACAGCTGTCAGATACAAGGCCTTGAGGATGGAGCCAGGGCAGGCTCAGGCCAACAGCTGCCATTTCCGAGGGCAGAAAACCCTGGGCTGAGAGAAGCAGATGGTGGGGATCTGCCCAGAAACTGGCTCTGAAGCTGAAAATCAAGACTGTTTGGATCCCCACACAAGCAGCAAATCTTCCCTTGATCTGCCTCACCAATACTAAATCAGAGGTGGCCAGAGAGCAAAGGAGTATAAATCAGAGGTGGCTGGACAGCAAAGGAGACAGCAGGTATGTGGATACCATGGTTTACCGACCCAGCATCCGCCCACCCTCGTCCACATATAGCTCAGATTTTGGTGAGACGGGTCCAATCTGTCCCCCTCACTGGGCTTTTGGCCTGTGAGATCCAGTGATTGGTGGATCAAATCTAAGCCAATTAGAGATCTCATGCTCAGAGTGATTGGTTCAGGCATGAAGCACATGACCCCAATCTCAGCCAATAAGAACACGACATTGTCCTCACTGTCATTGGCCATGCCTCAGCCTATCAGAGCCCAACACTGCCCAGTTCATAGTGACTGGGGTAAAGGCTAAGTCCAAGCATGTGGGAGGAGAAGAAATGGCACAAACAAAGGCTTCATGTCTTTGGTTCAACTTAAAGCACATGACTCAGATCCAAACCATTTGGAATATTACATTCCCCTGGCCATAGATGGCCAAAGCCTAAGTCACTCTCAGGACTTTTGTCAGAGCTACTAGAAGAAAGGTTCACTCTTTCTCACTATCCTTGAACTTGAGAGAGTGTGAGGCCAGAGTCACTACAGCCCTCTGCTACCACACTGAAAATAAAGCTGAACACTTGGAAAGCAGAACTGAACAAGGGAGAAAGAGGCTGAGTCCTCGCAAGGTCCAGCCTGGCCCAAAGCCGACAATGCCGCAGACTTCTCAGCTACTTGAACTAACGAGTTTTATTTTATGACTGAGCCAATCGGAGTTGTATTTTCTGTCAACTCTGGGGAAATGGGGAAAGGAGATGGATGGAGGAAAGGAGATGGATGGAGGTCTTACCTTGAGGAGGAGTGGGTATTTGCAGATCCTCTGAATTGGGGACAGCAGGTAGCCCTCCAGAGGGATGTCCGTGGTCTTTCGGCCTCCCAGAAGCATGCAGCTCTGCAAAGAAACAGGAGACCTTCATTAACACTCACCAAGGACAGCAAAGGGACTCTCAAAATGCAGCTACAACCTTTGGAAGCAATTTAGCAACACGTAGGAGAAATCAAAATATGCATATTCTACAACCCTGCGTAAGGAGAGCCTCCCTCAGAAGTTACCCAATCCTGCCCAGTGCCTATTCTAGTAATTAAAGTTTTGTTTTGTTTTTAAAGCAAGGCAACCATTGGCTGACCTCAGAGATTGCAAGGACCTTGTCAGCTTATACTATAATGTCTTATTTTTTTATTTTTACACCTACAGCACCTGGTCTTCCTAGGTGGTCTCCATCCAAGTACTAACCAGGCCCGACCCTGCTTAGCTTCTGAGATCAGACGGGATCTTACTTGTTCAGGGTAGCATGGCCATAGACTGATAATTAAAGTTTTATTGGAACACAGCCACATCTATTTGTTTACATATCAACTATGGCTTCTTCCAAGAGATCACGGCAGAGCTGAGTAGCTATAACAGAGACCACAGAGTCACAAAACCTAAAATATTTACTATCGGGTCTTTCACAGGAAAGTCGCCAAACTCTGATCTACAGAAACTTTGACACATATACACCAGGAAACAAGAACACGGACGTTCAAAACTGCCTCATTTGGAATAGTAAAAAATGAGAAACGACCTACATCTCCATGGACTGAAGAATGGATAAATATGTCTGCAGTAGATTTGTGCAATGGCACACTACGCCGCAGTCAAGATAGGAGAGCTAAAGCTACAAGGGGCTGCATGGATGAGCCCCAAAAACACACCCTTGAGCAAAAAAAAAAAAGATTATGTACTATATAAATTCATTTAAATCTTTTAAAGGCACACAAAAGAAAACTAGGCTTCGTTTATGGAGACCACGTCTGCAGAAAAGTATAAAGGCGTGAATGGAAAGAAACTCTGGACCAGGTTCTAGTGGAAGTTAACCCCAGAGGGAGGGTTACAGGATTCGGAAAATGAACCAGGAATCTTAGGCTGTTGCAGAAGAGGTTTTATGTCTTTACCTGGAAGGTAGGGACATGAGTGCTGTCACAGGAATACCTGTGTTTCGGCCTGTAGAGTAAAGACTGCAACTCTGTCAGGAGTCAAATACCCTCACCTACCTGGGTCCTGGCCATACCGGTCACCTCGACATCCACCTGCAGCCACCCACGTCAAAACTTCCTTCATGCCAACCCTGTTCCTGTGTGTGTTCTATGTTCCGACCCTAAAATGCTTTTTCCTGCCTCAATACTAATAAAAATATTATTATCCTCATCCATAGCTAACACTAAGAGCTTATGATACACCAAGGGCTCAAATCCTGACCACCAACCTCCCTATGAACTGAACACTATTACAGCTCAGGCAACTGAAGTTGGGAGGTTTCGTGTTTCTTCCCAAGGGGACCCCAGAACGTGTGAGCAATAGAGATGGGATCTACACCCAGGCAGGGTGACAAATAGCCTGGGCTTAGAACCATGATGCCAGGCTACCCTTAGCCCAAGGCCAGCATTCTCGAAGGCCAGCCCGGCCACCCCGCCTCCTGGAAGCCATTCCCACCTGTTCTCAATTCCCAAAACTCCTTCCTCCTGGCACTTCCATAGTAGGTCATTTGTTCCACATGGCTAGAAATCATATGCAGGTATTATTCTCACCTTTGGAGAGGCTCCTCTTAGAACCAAGGAGCTCCAACTTGAGAATCTGTTCTTTGGATGCCAGGAATCATGAGTTACATGTCTGCGGCCCCTACCATGCCCTTCACAGTCCTGGGTCTCTAGGGCTCACAATGTGCCCAATGTATGCATGAATGAATGAATGAACAGATGAACTAATGAATGAACAAACTGCCAGCACATCCAGCAATGAATGGGTCTTAGCCTTCCTCCTCAATACCATGCTAGCAGATTAGAAATTACACAGGACTCTTGAGAAAGGTGATCTCCATCCTATCCTTCATTCATTCATTCATTCTACAAATACACATTGTGTGCTGGGCACAATTCCAAGCACTGGGAAAACTTCTCAACAAAGTAGACAAATTCCCTTCTTGTACTCAAGTGAAAATAAGACCAGGCATTTACCATGTGCTCACCACATGCTAGGCACTGTGCCTCATGCTTCAGCGACAGGTAAATTCGTCCTCATGGCCCTAGGACAAGCATGAACCATTGTCTCCCTCTCACAGATGGGGAAGCTGGCACAGACAGCCAAGAAGACTGACCCAAGACTCAGAGCTACTGCCTTTAAGGGATGTTAATGGCCCTCTCCTTGGAGAAGCAGAATCCCGGCCCTGCTGTGTCAGGAGCTGCATGACTCCCACTCCTATGTCCACCCCTGATGCAGAAATCAGGGCTGTGGCAGCTGGGAGAGGCCAGGCCTACACCGCTCACACTCGGGCCTTTGTCCTCCGAGCCAGTGCTCCCCACGAGCTGTCCTGGTGATGTCAGCTCTGGGCAGAGAGAGGAGTGGGGGAGGGCTTTCCAGAAGCCCCCAGAACTTGGCCAGAGAAGGGCCTGTCTCTTTGTCTAGGATCAAGGAGTTTTCACAGGACTGTCACGGCCACAACTACACTTCTCCCAAATACCTTCGATTGTTATTTTACTTTGTTTTCATCGAAAAAAATAAATAAAAGAAAAAAGCAAACACACAGAGCTACCAGGTACTATTCTCCTAAGATTACACTCCAGACACTATGGAAAGAACTTTTGAGAATTATCCCTCTTGAACTCTTCTAATTCACAGAATGGACTCAGGTGAAGTGTCAGCTCCCTCCTGTTCCCAAGCTCCTAATGGCAGCACGCTAAAGCGGTCCTGGGTCCTCCCTTCCGTCTTTGCTCCTCCCCTGGCTGAACTTACCACTTTAACACCATCCTGTCTACTGAAAACGCTCCGATTTTCATCTCCAGACTGGCCCCTCCCTTCCCTAAACTCCGAACTCAAACCTCTGATTCCGTGCCCAAATCTCCCCCTGGATGTCTAACAGGCATCTTAAACGTCACACATCCAAAATGGCATTTTTTTTATTTGCCTCTCATACCTGGCTCCTATCCCAGCCTCCACCCTCTCGGGGAACTGCAACTCCTTTCTTTCAGTTGCTTGGGCCCAAAACCCTGGAGTCATCTTTGACTCCTCTCATACACCCCAGAGCCAACCGCCCCGCAATTCTCATCAGCTGCACCCTCAAGCTCTCCCTGATTCCAACCACCTCTTGCACCACCATTGCCCCGTCCTCAACACCATCCTCTCCTGCCTGAACTGTGGCAGCAGCCCCGTAGTGGGGTGAGTAGTGTCCTCCCAAAATGCCAAGCCCACCCAGAATCCCAGAATACGACCTTATCCGAAAACTGGGTCTTTGCGGATACAATTACTTAAATTAAGATGAGGTTATACTGGATTAGGGCGGGCCCTACATCATCTGACTTGTGTCCTTGTAAGAAGAGAAGAGGACGAGAGAAGAAGGCCGTGTGAAGAGGGAGGCAGAGACTGGAGCTACGCTTCCACACGCTAAGGAACGCCCGAGGCCACGTGCAGCTGGCAGAAGAGAGGCAGGACTCCTCCCTAGACACTTCGGAGGGAGCGTGGCCCTGCCAACCCCTTGATTTCAGCCTTCTGGCCTCCAGAACTGTGAGAGAATAAATTCTGTTGTTTTGAACCACCCCGTTTGTGGTCATTGTTACGGCATTCCCAAGGCAGTCACACCAGCCCCTGCCCAGGTGTCCCTGCCTCCACCCTCACACTGCCAAGGGAAGCCTTTCGAAATGCAAATGAGCTCAAGTCATTCTTCTGCTCAAAACTCTCCCAGGGCTTTCCCATCCCACTCAGACTAAAATTAAAAATTCCATTGAAAGCACTGCCACATGCTCCAACATAGATGGGTCTCACAGACACTATACTGAGCAAAGGAAGCCAGACACAAAAGCATCCTGCATGACTCCGTGCGTGTAAAACTCTAGAACAAGCAAAACCAACCTTTGATGAGAGAAATCAGCAGAGAGATTACCTCTGGATGGACAGGGGGGACATGACTGGGAAAAGGGCACAAGGAACCTTCCAGAGTGACAGGAATGTTCTAAATCGGGACCTTGGTGGTGGTTCCGTGGGTGCACACATACGTAAAAATTCATCGTGCTGTGAGGACATTCACTGCACGTTTGCTAGACTGCAATAAAAAAAAAAAAAAAATCTATGTAAAAATCTCAGAGCCTTTCCATTAGCTAAACGTGCTTTATCCGTCTTCTCAATCTTTCTTCCCACATTTCCTTCCTCTTTTCATCTTACACTCTCCATCCCGGCCACTCTGGACTTCTTGCTCATCCTCACACTCCTACCTCAACCTCAAGGCCTTTGCACTTATGGTTCCTCTAGCTGGAACTACCTTCCCGGCAGATACCCCTTGCTTTGCTTCTCTCTCTTTATCCAGGTTCCTGCTTCAATGTCACCCAAGACACTGTTTTCTCAAAGACCGACCTAAAACAGCAGCCAGCACCCTCACTCCCTCAGAACATCCTGTCATCCTTAACTTACTTCACTTCCTGCAGAGAACTTATATGTCTCCCCTACTTGAACAGCCACTCCATGACAGCAGGGACTGTCTTGTCTTGGTCTCTTGTCTCTTGTCTTGGTCCCTGCTGTATCCCCGTACTTAGAATGATCCCTACCACACAGCAGGTGCTCAATAAGAATCTGCTGAATGAACAAACAACTAAATGATCCCCATTTTACAGACAAGAAAACTGAGGCACAGAAAGATGGAATTCCCGCCCCATCTTTCAGTTAGTGCACGGAACATCATGAATGGAAAGCCACATTCTGTTCTCAACGCCTTAATAATCTGTGATAGACATGAGACGGCTCTTCTGCAGATGGTCAAAAGCTGGGAGATGCCAGCAAGGAGGGAAACAGATGGCACATGTGCTGGCACCCCACACATCCTCCCCGCTGCCCAAGTCGGCCCAGCCCAGCTGCTGCTAGGAAAACGACAGTTTGGTCCACCAGGACGACTGCAAGAGAGAGAGGAAGGAAGGAAAGAAAAAGAGGCCCTTCCGTTTCCCACACCCTAGATAACACTTTCCTGCTTCCCAAGACACAACTGAGCTCAAGGGGACACCCCCAGAGGGCCAGAGGGCCCAGATCCTGGGCAGCATCACTAAGTGTTGCTGCCTAAAAGTCAACAGGTCGATCGCAGAAACGTGGACGTGTGTGTGGTCTCACACTACGTGAGTTTATCTTTGCTTTTTGCCCAGACTCTTGAATATAAGTGCAAAACTAGGAATATAAAGATGCAGCTACCAGCGGTGAAAAGCATCAAACCCGAATGCTCAAGATACTTGTAACAAAAATGAAAATCAGTCAACCACCTGCCCTTCCTCAGATGCTCACTGGAAATGGGCCAAGCAACATGAACTCACTAGTGAAGGAAATACGCACTTTGAATGAAAATTCTGGAAATACTTTGTTGAAGACTGTGCATTAGGGAGAAGTGCAATCAAGAATTTTACTGTAGCTCTTCCCGTACGTGGCCTGAGGTGACCTCTGAAAATGGTTCGCTAAATTCACTTGACCCAGAAAACCCCACAAGATCATGCAAATCAAGAGGTTCAAATCTTCGTGTTCACGTTAAGAAAACTCGCGAAACTGCCCAGGCCATCAAGAATACGCACATTCGAAAAGTGACCAAGTATGTGAAGGATGTCACTTTGCAGAAGCAATGGTGCCATTCCATTGTTACGATGGTGGAGTTGGTAGGTGTGCCCGGGCCAAACAGCGGGGCTGGACTTGGGGTCAGTGGCCTAAAAAGAGTGCTGAATTCTTGCTGCACGTGCTTAAAAATGCAGAGAGTGATGCTGAACTTCAGGGTTTAGATGTAGACTGGCCTCTGAGCACATCCAGGTGAACAAAGCTTCCGAGATGCAGCGCAGAACATACAGAGCTCGTGGGCGAGTGAACCTCTACATGAGCTCCCCCCACCACACTGAAATGATCCTCACTGACAAAGAGCAGATGGTTCCTAAACCAGAAGAGGAGGTTGCACAGAAGAGAAAGATATCCCAGAAACAAAAACTTATGGCCTGGGAGTAAATTTAGCATCAAATAAATGCTAATAAAAATTAAAACAGAAAAAAAAGGAATTTTACTGTAAAGAAGTTGCAAATTAGTAGTTGATAGATGGTCACAGGGATGGGGAACACGGCATAGGGGGATACAGTTAGCATTAATGTAATGGCTAGGTGGAGAGCCAGAGGCGAGAAAGAGCAATTACATAGTTTTACAAATTATATAAATGTCTAACCAATGTCTATACTTGAAACTAATAATAAAATAAAACAAAAAAAATTAAAAATTTTTACTGTATAGTTTATCTCTCTGGGCACATAGTAAACACTCCTAATGCTATGTCAGTTACCTGTTCTTTTGTGTGAATTCTGTACATGCTGTCGAGACAGAAAACAGAATTGCAGGGAGTGGGATGGGATCTGGAACCAAACGAGCAGGGGATTTAGAGGTGAAAGACCAGGATTTGAACCCATGTGAAGCTCAATCACTTTTCAAGTTATGTACTCTCGGAAAGTCACTTAATATCTTGGAACTCATCAAAATCACCTGTGGCAAAGGCTATGCACTGTCTTCTAACATCTTCTTCCACAGCCACAGAATTTTCAACTGGGCCCATGGCTGCCCAGAGTAAAGCCTACATATCCCAGCCTCCCTTGCAGCTCGGTGTGGGTATGTGACTAAATTCTGGCTAATGGAATGTGAGCAGAGAGATGTGTGCAACTTTCTGTTGTACCTTTAAAAGGAGCAGGGCAGCCCCCTCCTTGCCACCCTTCCTACACCCTACTACAATGTGGAAGTGGTAAGAGGTATCTTAGACCGCATCAAGGAGGACACACCCTAGGGCCTTGGCCCCCGATACTGACAGCTCTATACTGGCCCCAGACTGTCTATATCCACGTTGTTAACATGAGAGAAAAATAAGTGCCTATCTCGCTTAAACCTCTGTTATTTGAGATGTCTGCAGATAATGTATATCCTAACTCACACAACAGATAGCGGCTGGTAAAGCTCCAAGGAGATCACCAATGAGAACCTGTCTTATTACACAGGTGAAGCTTTCTGCAATTATAGGGAAGGCCATCTACTGTTTTGCCTGACCAATATCCATTCCCAACTTACTTTCACAAGTGCAAGCAAACTGTCCTTTAAGGATCAGCCCACCCGTAGGGCCTGTGGCATGAGTGGAGTTGACCCTGCCCTCTGGCTCCAGAAGTGACCCATCAGAACCCCATCCAACTCCTCCATCTATGGCAACTGGTTCAGGGACGAAGTCTTGAGCCAGGCTGAGCCAATGAGCATCAGACCTAAGGTTTTTGCTTTACTATCAGGGCAGGGTAGGGTGGGAAGGATCTGCTGGTGGCCACCGTGCCACAACTTCGGAAGAACCTGCCTGGAAATGGAGCCAGGATAAAGAAAGGCAGAGACACATTCCTAATGACATCGTTTGAACCCCCAGAGTCTGCTGTGCCTGAGGCCCTCCAGGTCTTAAACTTCCCAGGAAAGTGAACCAGTGAAATTTTTTTTTTTTTTTTTTTTTTTGCTTAAGCCAGTTTTAACCAGATTGTCTTTCCCTTACAATTAATTAAATAATCTGAAAAATACAGTTATTACTACTATTGCTACCAGTCTTATTAGGATCATTACTTTAGACCAGGAATTGGGAAACCTGGCCTTGGGGCCAAATCCAGCCCTCTGCTTGTTTTGTTTTTATAAATAAAGTTTTATTGGAACATAGCCATGCTCATTCTTCTACACATTACTTACTGATGGCTGCTCTTGTGCTATAACAGCAGAGGTGAGTCATTGTGACAGGGACTGCATGACACGCAAAGGCAAAAGTATTCACTACCTGGCTGGCCCTTTACAGAGAACATCTGGCGGTTCCCGCTTTAGACAGGTCACTCTAGCTGAGGAAGGGATTAGCAGCATGGGTCAGTGTGAAAGTGTCAGCACGCAGCTCTCTTGTGCCCAGGGATTCACAAAACTGAAGCAAACAGCAGGGAGGCACAGAGGTGACAAGAAAACTTACCAAAAGGAAGGCGCGCACAGTGGGGATTTTGTTCAGTTCCACAAGCAGCCGCAGGGCCTTCTCGTGGTTGCTGCAATATTCCTCGTATACGCAGAACTTGTCCTTCTGCAAGACAAGAACAGAGGCTGAGACAGGTCACGGCGGGCAGGCAGCCACTCCGAGAAGTACCGATGGCTGGGACAGCGGGCCGGGGAGGGACGGACTACACTAGACCCTGCAACACTACACAGAAGGAGAAATTTCTGGTAAAGTGCCTCCCACTCATGGTAGAACTCTCAGCCTCCACTTTTTCTGCCCCAGTCCTGTAGCCAGCAGCCTGAGTGACCCTCTCAGGAAGCAGCAAAGCCCAGGGTCAAGTGCACTGACTCAAGCCAGGTGGCCTAGGCTTGAACCCTAGTTCCGCACTTCCAGCTGTGAACTTGGGCAAGTTACCTGCCCTCCCTGTTCCTCGGTTACCTCACCTGTAAGCTAGAGTTAATAACAGTCCCTAACTCGTGGAGTGGTTATGAGGATTAAAGGGGTTAAAATGTGAGGGTCCAGCATGTAGTTAAAGCCCCAATACATGTCCAACTTTACTACTGAAACACAAGTAGACTATCTCATGCCCCTGTTTAAACCCTTCCAATGGAATTCTATTATGCTAAGAATGAAATCCGACACTTTATTAAGATCTTCAAGGGTCAGATAATGAGACCCTGCCTTCCTCTGATCCCATCTCACTAGCCTCCTAGCTACTCCGTGAATTTGCCAAGCCTGTTCCTACCTCGGGGCCTTTGCACGTACCATGCCCGCTACCTGGAACAATCTTCCCCCAGGCCTGGCTACTTGCCACCATTCAAGTCTCAGCTCAAATGCCACCTGCTCAAATGACACCGGACTACTGTAGCTAAAGTAGCCACCCAGGTGTTCGCTATTACCCACCCAACTGTCTTTATTTTCTTTATAGTGTTCTCTCGACCTGGAATTATCCAGATTATTTATCAGTTGTCTTCTCACTTGGCAGTCAGCTCCCTGAAGGCAGTGAATATGTCCGTCTCGTTCAATGAAGTATCCCCAGATCGTAGCACAATGCCTGGCACACAGAAGACCCTCAAAGAATACTTGCTAAATGAATGAATTCTGCATACCTCCTATGTGCAATGCCCTGCATATACGAACCAGAGGAGTCTAGATAAGGCTCTGGAATTTGAGAGAACAAGCAGATTTCTGGTCGCTGCCACATAGCAGTGGCACTCCTAAGGCTCTTTTGACCTCCAGATGCCCCTAGGATGAAAGCTGGACTCTTTTCAGCCTCGAGGTCACCCATGGGTCACCAGGTCTCTAACCATCAGTCAAGGTTTCCGGAACTGGAAGGAATAGAGGCGTTCTTAGCAGGAAGCTCTCCACTGAGCATTTTCGGTTCCACAAAACACCGCCCCCCAACCTGCCAAACCCCAAACAAGGATGTCCTGCGAAAGACCACTGAGGAAGAAGGGCTGAAGGGCCTCAACCTTGGTCTGGGGGATGGGCAGAAGACCCCAAGCAGCAAAGGAAGGAAGAGGTGGGCCTGCAAAACAAAGCAGCTCATCTTGTTTCTAAACAAACCCCCAGCCATCCTGCTAGTGGTGGCTGCAGGAAAGAGGAAACCAAAGAGGAGGGAAAATCGGTTTCAAAATCAATCAGCCACCTCAACACACCCAGCTCACCCCAGGGGCTCTGTGTGCACCATCTGAGCAGACGTCCTGAGCAGAGATGTGCTCACAGCCAGAGCCAATGGCCGACTCAGAGTGTGTACTGAGCACTTAGTACATCTCACACTCCCTTCTCCTAGAATGAGGGTGAACTCATTAACTCTTTGTAATAACCTGACGTATTCGACCTATTCACACATGGGAAAAACAAGGAAAAGTCATGAGCCCAGGGTCTGACTTCTCGTGAAGTGGCAGAACCAGGATTCAATCTCTCTTAACTCCCATACCAAGGTCCAGCCCGAGGCCACAGCAGGGGATGGGGGTGGGAGTGGGAGGCAAAGACAATGGGTACAAATCTGTGGGGGCCACAAATCCACAGGCGAAGTTCCAAGGGGCACTGCAGCATAATGATGAAGTGCACAGTGACTCCAGAACCAGACGACCTGGGTTGGACACCCAGTCCCACCCTCCCAAAGTACTGAGTGACCTTGGGCAAGCTGCTTCACCTCTTCATGCCTCAATTCCCTCATCTACGAAATGGATATAATAGCAGACCCCCCCACTACTTGGGCTGCTGGAAAATTAAATAACAATATATGTAAAATGAGTAGAACAGTACTTGGTACATAATGAGCACTATATAATATTTTTAAATACTCTGAAAGTATTAGCTACAAATACAATCAACAAAAATGAATCAATGGGAAAAAATAATTATCCAAAGTGTACACAATTATCCAAAGTGTACACAATTATCCAAAGTGTACACATGTCAGGAACAAACAACCCTAACACATACCAAACAATCTGAAGCATTACAACACACAAGCTACATGCTCCAAACAACACCATCAATATCATGATGCACAGAGAAACATACGGAGTCACCAGCTACAATCTCCTCACCCAGTGTCTGCAGCCCACTGAAATATCGACCCAGAAATATACACGAGGGCAGGGAAGGAGAAGAGGGTACCCCAGCAAGCCCCACGCTGCCCAAGCAGACCTTTTTCTATTTCCCTTTGTCTCTGTTGAGCCTAGGGGACCATCAAGGCCAATGGAGATGGGTAAGGAGAAGTCTGGACTGTAAGGGTTCATCCAGACAAATAAGGGAGGCTGCCAGACACATCTGAAACCAGGGCCTCAGCTGCAGACCATGGTGAAGGCGGCTGAAGAGAAGAGGAAGAGGGCTTTTCTTGTTGTAGGTAACAGGAATTAGCCCATGTCTGGGGCCTGCTCCTGCAAAAGAGGCCTCCAGGACTCTACAGGAAGGGTTGGGCTCTGAATGCAGGCACGTGAATGACAGCAGGAGGTCCCAACCACATATGTAAGAAGCTCTAGGAAAAAACTGCTCTGCGGCCAAACACCTGGGCTTTCCTGGGCCTACAGGCCCCACTATTAATACTCTTCATAGATAAGACACCAAAAGCCCCCACGACCACTATCAGCATCAACTCTGTAAGTGTGAGTGCAGGTTCTGCAGCCAGACCACCCAGGTTCACAGCCCAGCTCCCCAGGTCACCAGCTCTGTGACTTTGAGCAAAGCAGGTAACATTTCAGAGCCTTTGTGTTCTTGTCTATAAATAAGACAATAATGACCTCTTCATCATAAGGTCGTTGTGAGAATTACTAGATGACTTTGTAGTAAGTTCTTCAAATAGTGAATAGTAAGTATTCATTAAATAGTAGCTATTATTATTGTTTGTTACTGATGAAGCAGCTATTACCACCGCTACGATTTTAACAAATTCACTGTCTCACTGGTGAACTGGTCTCTGACAGAGTGGAGCAGTGGATAGGTAGGTTTTGATGGCAAAAAAAAAAGAGACAGGCAGAGTCAGGACAAAGGGAGCTGAGCTGACTTGTAGGTCTGAAGAAGCCCCCCAGGGAAAGGTACCAGGCAGATTTTGAGAAATATGGTGGACACTAAACATGGTGTCTTCTCATCCGTGCCCTGTCCATCTCCTCCCATCCACCACCCACACTGTGAGCTCTACGGGGACAGGGTTTACAGCTGCTGAGGTCACTGCAGTGGTACCAGTGGGGACTGAAGTTCCTGGCAGAGAGCAGGCATCATGACTATGTGATGAATGAAAGCAAGAAAGCAGAGAGAGAAACTGAGGGGGGTCTGACAGCCCTCAAACCGGCCCCACGCTCCTTCCAGGAGACCCTGGTCCGCCACAATCACAGCCTCGGCTCTTTGTTGGGACATCTGTTGTTTCACGCACCCGACATCCATTCTGTTCTGGTCAGAGGCCCCGTTATTTCCCCTGAAGAATTGCCTCTATACTCTGAACCCAGTGAAATGTCAATACACGCTGAGCTGACTGACCCCACTCAACTCCCAGGTGCCACAGGTGAGCACGTGACCCAGGCCAAGCCAATATGAGAAGCTCTCTTTGCTGCTGAGCTGGCAAGAGTAACAGCCTGAAACACTGAAGGCCACCTCTGCCACCATATGAGGCATCCACACTCCTCCACCCCTCAAGAATAAAGCCATTACAGAGGAAAGCAGAGCCTAGAGACACAAAAAGAGCATGTCCTGAAAACATCACATGGGGTCCTGGACCCAGCTATGCCTAAAACCAACCCACTGCTAAACATTTCTGTATGAGCCATTAAGTCTTTTTTTTTGGTTCGTTTAGCCTGAGTTGGGGTTTTTATCACTTGTGGTGAAGACAGTCCTAATGCATACACACTCTGAAAAGAGAAAGAAAATGATCGAACGAACCCAAGCCTAGTAGTGAGGTGACAGTGTCTTCCCGTTCATCTCCATCTGTACCATGAAGGGACTGGGCCAGAAAGCAGAAACAAATCTGTTTATGCTCACGTGCCAAGCCCAGTTAATGAAATGAGTCCTGCTGGCTCTAACACTAGCGAGAAGAATTCTGAGTCCCCAGGGAGCACAGAGGCAGAATGCTCTGATTGATTAGCGATGTCTGCCACAGATGCAGCAGAGAGGAGCAAGCGATAAGGCTGTTGCGGCTGCGTCGTTCCTCATATTCCGAGCCCCTTCTCTGACACACTCTGCAATGTCATCCTCCCCTTCAGCCTGTAGGAAGGGCAGGGGACCAAGGCTTGAGGCTTGGAAAAGTTAAATTTAGCAAATGACAACACCCTCTCTCTTCAGAACCACGCTCGGTTCCATCAGTCCCGTGTCGTTTCATCGAGCCCAACCCCAGCTGCATCTCAGGCATGAGACCCTGCAAATCTGGAAAAGCTGCTTTTAACGGCTAAGAGTCCAAGTGTTCAATTTCCTCCTTGGGGCCCCACGTGGGGCTTTGATTGTTTTGCCAGAATGAAAGAAACAGTTGTGCACACACAGATGTGGTGGGTAAGGAACGTGTGGCTGTGGGTTTGGGCTGGGAAGGAGGAGAAGGGGCCAGGTGCCAGCTGGAGACAGCTGGAGGAGGGCTCTAGCCCCCAGAGAGGACTCGAGGAACATCAGAAGTGGTGGCTGCTGTCCACTGTACCCAGGGGGCTCAGGGGGTTACACTGGCTCTACAGAGACCATCTTCTTCATATTCAGAAAGACTGAGACTCAGGAGAGGGAAGGAACTGGCCATGGAGACATCTCTGTTGGGGAGGGGACCATGAGATCCAGTTCTCACTTTTGCGAGTGTTTCCCCAACCTATCCACACAGCTGCAGGGAGAGGGGCTTCAAACTTAATTCAGACCACATGACTCCTCTGCTGAAAACCTACAACTCTTAGAATAAAACCCCTATGGGATCTGGCCCCCATGACATCCCTGACTCCCTCCATGGCTCGCTCTGCTCCAGCCATGCCGGATCCCTGCTTTCCTCCAGCATACGAGCTTGCTCCCATCCCAGGGCTTCTGCCCTTGCTACCTTTCCCCCTGGAATGCCCTTCCCCCAGAACATCCCTCTCACCGCCTTACAGAGGCCAGCCCTGACCAGGGTTGCCAGATAAGACCAAAGACACCCAGTTGAGTTCTCGTTTCAGAGTAAACAAATAACTTTTTAGTATAAGTATGTCTCAAATATTGCATGAGACATACTTATACTAAAAATGTATTCATCGTCTACCTGAAATCCAGTTTCACTCAGCTCTCCTGGGTGTATTAATTTGCTAAATCCAGCCACCTTTCCCTGACTTCCCAGCGTCAGACGACCTTGAGTGCAGTCACTCCTTCTCACGTCTGCATTTTACATTCTTCACAAGCCACGTCGCCATCTGAAATGACCGCCTGTTAACTTACTTAGCCCCACCCCTCCGTTTCTCTGGCCTGTGAGCCTTATGGTAGCAAGAAGCAAGTCTATCATATTTAGGGCAGCAGCCTCAGGGCCTAGGACCTTGCCTGGCACACAGTAGGTGCTTAGTATGTATTTCAGCAGACTTTATCATCTAAGATGGTATAAAAACAAACAAACAAACAAACAAAACCAGGAGCCAAACTGTATCAGCTCGAATCCTGGCTCCAATACCTACTGACTGTGTAAGCTTATACTAGGACTTAACCTCTCTGGGCCTCGGTTTCCTCATTTGTAAAGTAGGTATAATAAGAGGACGCACCACTGAAGGCTGCAGAGTTTGAATGAACGCACACACAGAGAGCACTGAGGACAGGGCCTGGCGCGAAGAGCATGGTCACTCAGTGCTGGTTTGTGATCATCTCAGTAGTTAGTGGTTGGGTTTTGGGTGAGAGGGCGAGGCATTCTCCCACTGTCCACTGACGGTGATGGCACCAACCAGTGGGCGGGTCTGTCAGCCACGGCTCCCTACTGGGCCTGATGCTGCTTCTTCCTCCCTTAGAGAGCCTGTCCCAAGAGCTCTGTGCCCAACGCCACCTCACCACCCAGATGCTGCCTCGGCAGGGAGTGAATGAGCCTGAGCAAGAGGCTGGCCTGGTGTCCCCTCCCTTGGGACTGTGATGGCTGCCGTGGTGAGCCACTCCAGGCCCATCAGGACAGAGGCACCCATGGCCCTCACCAAGTCCCTCCCTGGGAACTGCCCTGGGCCTGAGGCACTGCCTGGAACAGCCCACATCCAGGGACTGGGAAACTCGGGGTGCAAAGGCCCGCCCCTCACTGCAATTCGGGGCGACTCCAAAAGTCAACCCAGCTCCAGAGTTTCTCCTGGGGTGGGGAGCAGCTAAGGCCAGGCAGAGACTGTGCGACCTCTCCTTCAGCTGCTTCCAACAGGCCATCTGCACACAAATCTCCAGCTTCTGGAAACCCAACTATAGCAGAGGCTGCTTATAAAAAGTATTCAGTGTCATCCTCCATGAGCACAGGGAAGAGGGGGGAATAGGGATTAAAAAGATGATTTTAAATTAAAAACACAGAATCACGTGCTGAGAAAGCCAACTCCTTTTTCAACGGTTCCACTGACATCAAGGAAGGGTCTCAGCTAGGTGTGATATTACACTAATACAGGCCTTACGCTTCCTTCTGATCAAACTAAGGGCAGGCCTCAGGCTCAGAAACAGGTGGGCAAGAGTTTCTAGACAGAATGTGGTAACACGGTTTGGTTTCTATTGCATTTCCTTTTATAAGTTACCTTCTATTCATACCAAGTGACACTCATTTTCCATTTCCAATGATGATGCAAATTTCCCCTTAAAATGAGTTTAAGGTTATCTTTTTCAAGCGAATCAATTTTTTAAAAGATGAAACAAATAATAATACAAAGGGAATAATAATACCCAGATACAGCAAAAATTGCAAACAGTGTATGAATCAATGACGTCTGGCTTAGCTGTTAGGAGGGTTGAAATCCCAGCTTTCACCTACATAGTCATGACCTTGAGTTTAACCTTCCTCTCAGTTTGCTTGCCTGTTGCAAAAGCTTAGGCCTGGATGCTACTCTTGATGCAGGGACGGAAAAGTGAACGTGACAAAGTCCTTGCCTTTGTATTGCTGACATTCTAGTGGGGACAGACAATAAACAAAAAAGAAGCAAAATATCCGGTATGTCAGAGAGTGATAAAGGCCACTGAGAATAATGAGGGGGTATGGGGAGGGTGGAAGGTTACAATTTTGAAAAGGGTGGGCATGAAAGGGCTCATGGAGAAGGGGGCATTTCTGTAAAGATTTCAAGGCAGGGAGGGAGAAAGCGGCAGGGATGCCTGAGGGAATGGTCCAGGCAGAGAGAAGAGCACACTCGAAGGCCTGAGGGAGAATGAGCTTCCATGTTCCAGAACAGTGAGACACCTTCAGTGCTCAGTGAGTGGCCGAGTCGGGGACTCAACTCCAGGTCTCTCTAACTCGAGTCTGCCCTCTCGACCACTGGCTGCCAGTGTGGGTCATTCTGCGGCAGAGGGGCCCCATCAGACCGGCAGGTCACAGGAGCCCCAGGACACAGTCGTTAAGCAAGGAGCTCAGTGGAAAAGGGGCCACGCTCTACGTAACGTCAAGGGGAGGGAGAGCCAACTAAAAATACCCCCAGTGTGCTGGGCCCAGACCACTCCCCGTTGTTCCTGGGGACAGAAGCTAGGCCCACCTGCCCACCTGCCCATCTGCCTCCATTTCCCAGAAAGGCCTGCAGAGGGAGCTGGCCAAGGGCAGGCAGAGCAAGTCTCAGGGAGAAGCCCACTTCCCCAGAACTTCAGGCTCCAACAGGGGCTGGGGCACTGTACTCACGAATTTTAAGAAAACGTTCCCAAGTTCATGCTGAGATTGTGGCTCTGGATGTAAACAATACTCCAAGGCGGCCAAGAAATCCTTATGAACTTCCAGGATGTCTTCGATGTTCGAGAACAGGATCTGTGAGGAAAAGTGAGGCCCAAGGATAGTGTCATGGAGGCACAGAAAACAAGCAAAATCAAACATAAAAAGAATGCTTAACCCCCGGTGTAGGTGAGGCTGTGGTGAAACGGGCATTCTCATACACTGGAACCAGTTTACTACTAATAAAAATAATGATAGTAACAAAAATATTGCCAACATTTACTAAACGGGATTAATGCCTAATCCTGTGCTAAGAACTTTATATGCATGTATGGCATCTAATCCTCACTCTAACTCCATGAGTTAAAAACTGTTATTATCCCCAATTTGTAGATGAAGAAGAGAGGCTCAGAGAAATTAATTAACATTGCCAAGGTCACGCAGTCCAGTAAGCAGGAGAACTGAGCTGCACACTCACCATGCAGAAAAGTATACACCAGACATTTATTAGAGTCTTCATCATAGCCAGGCACAACCAGTATGCCTGACGTAAAGGTTGATTTTTAAAACCATGAGGGTACTTCCATGCACCCATTAAAATAATGTGGTAGGAGAAAAAACTATAGGAAACTATTCAAATATGCTGTTTAACCTCTCACAAACAATATATCTCCATTTCCCCATATGAATCTATAAAGTTTGAAATGTACATACATTCCAACCCAGCAACTCTACATTTTAGAATTTGGCCTTCCAATCAGTCATTTCCAACTGGGGCAATTTTGCTTCCCAAGGGACATTTACCAACGCCCGGGGACATTTTTGGTTGTCACAAATTGGGGGAGAGAATGCTACTGCTGTCTCATAGGTAGAGGCCAGGGATGCTGCTAAACATCCTACAATACACAGGACAACTGCCTCCAGCAAGGAATGATCCGGCCCAAAGTGTTAACTGCGCCGAGGTTGAGAGCTGGGTAGATGGCCAACGACATATACTGCAGCCTTATCTGCGGTTGCAAAAGACTGAAAAGAAAAACCAAATGTCTATTAATGGAGATTTGTTGAACAGTGAAATAAACGGGACTGGTGACAGTTAAAGAAATTCCACATGCTGAAACACTATGCAGCCTGTAAAAAGAATCTACAGGTCTATACATACAGATATGGAATCCTGGAAAGATCTTTGATCTATATTGTTAAGGGGGTGGAGAGGGATTATGGTGCCACAAAGGATTCCAGTATGGGCCCATTTGTGTAAAAGAACAACAAAAAAAAGTCTCTCCTCTTTACACTGGCAGAAGCAGAGCCTACCCAGACAAGGGCACGCGCTGGTAACTGTAAGGGCCTCGGAAAGGAGAACTTGGGGAAACTTTCATTTCCTTTAGGTCCTTTTGAAGTGAATAAATTCCTTTTTCTTTTACAATAAAAAAAATAGGTGCATTTTTTAATTTAATTTTGAAAAAGGCACTCACATGATTCAAAAATCAAAACACAGTAAAATGAATACAGTGAGGAGTCCCTCTCCCACCCACCCCCCACCCACAGTGGCTCACAGCTAGGGTGACCAGTGTCACTACGGGTTTACAGTTCCTTACACATTCATTCATTCAGTAATGACAGAGCACCCTGTATGCCAGGCACTGTTAGAGGCCCTGGGGATAGAGCAAGGAAGAAACAAGTGCCCGCCCCCATGGAGGTGACATTATAGTGGAAGGGGACAGACAACAAACAAAGAACTACAGTTTTCTAAGTCGTAAGAAGCAATAAGAAAAAAATAAAACAGGAAAGGAGTCCCAGGGCAGGGCGGAAGAAGTTTGCAAATTTAAATATGGAGGCCAGATGAGCATTTGAGTCAAGACCTGAAGGAATGAAGACCAGCCCCGTGGACCCTGCGAATGCACCAGAAAGTGCAGAGGAAGAGAGCCTGAGGGTGGGCGGGGAAGGCCAAGGGGCTGGAGACCCCTTCTCCACTGCTACCCTCTGAGAGGGCCAGAGCCTCACCCTGCGGGGTGCTCAACCGGGAGGTGGCTGAAAGAATCACCTGCATTGTATGGTTAGTTTTCCCTCTCGTTTTGCGAGATCACATGGTTGAATCTCTGTTTATGTCAAAGATATATATGTGATAGATCCTACTGTTATTCTTACTTTGAAGAATGGCCACAAAATTTCAAAATAAATATTTGTCTCTTGAGTGTACACTCAAAAGAAATGAGAGGCTGTATCCAGCAAAAGACATATACAAGGATGATCAGAATGGCCACAACCTGGAAATAACTCAAATACTTATCCACAGGAGAACAGATGAGTAAATTGTGGTACATTCATACTATGGAATACTACACGGCAATAAAAAGAATGGATCACAGCCACACACAGTAACATGGGTAAAAGCCACCAGACACAATGAAAGAGCTCATTTTTATATAAAGTTCAAGAACAGGTAAAACCAACCGATGCTAACTAATTGGTGGTTGTCTTTGGGAAGGGGGCAATTCTGGGAGGGGGGCACAGAAGAGCCCAAACTTAGAACGACACACTTTATTATAAGCAAGTTATACCTTCTAGGAGGCTAATTTTTTTTAATGTAATAAGTTGCAATTTTAAATTACAATAAATAATTTTTTAATTGTAATAAATAGTAGGTGTTCAGTAAATACTTTATGAATGAATGAGTGAATGACTGAATGAATGAATGAATGGGTCCATCACAATCTCTGATCCCAATGCTACCAGGGACCAGCCAGGCCGTGATCCTGAGCAGGTCTCTTTGAATCTCTAAGCCTCGGTTTTCTTATTAAAAAAAAAAAATGGGTTCAGAATTGTCAACGTGCAAGGTTACTGTCCATATTAACCAGGACGGTGGGGGGTGGAGGACATCCTGCTAACCAAGTCCTCTGTGTGCTATACCTGTTGACACCTCTGACTCCCTCCCTGCCCCATCTCCCCTTCTCCCCTAGACCAGAACCTTGGAGCCCCAAGGACTGAAGGCAGCTTCTCAGAGAGTGAGGTCACACTAGACAGCCAGGCCCGGGGAGCACTGGGGCCTCTTCCCTGCACACAGAGGGCCTATTGACTGTCCTCTCTCAACTCCCCAGAGCCACTGCCAAGACGAAGCCGGGACCCAATTACTCACCCGCCCTGCCTCAATACTCAGTGCCCAGTGCAGGGAGCGGGCTGGGGCTGCCAGGAGGGCAGCTGGAGGTGCCAGGCTCCCGGGGTGCTTGGGAAGGGATTTTCCGCTGGCACCAGGCCAGGGAGCCTGGCACAAGGAGCTTGGAAGACAGGATGGTCGTGTTGAGCAAGGGGAGAAAGTCTTGAGTTGCGGACTAGGGGCCTGGGGCTGAGTCCCCTGACATCCACCAGGCTCACAGGATGAAGAGGCCCCTAGGGGCTGCAGGGAGCAAGCTGTGAGAGGACAAAGCCAGTTGCCAGCAGGGTGGATGTGCCCCCGACCCCTGAGCACCCTCTGAGCATTGCCCCGGGAGGAGCGAGGCACACAGCAGCAGGGACAGTCTGCAAAGGGGACAGTCTGCAAAGGGGCCAGCCCAAGCAAGTGTCCACACCTTGATGTTCTCCTCCGTGAGGCCCTTCTCCACTGAGTCAGCCACATTCTG